GTCCCGCAGCCTATTGTCACTGAGAAATGGAAGAAGGACGAAACAACGCAGGAAAAGAATCCAGGTCCAAAGTCTCGAATTTCAGTATGCTTGCGTACGGATTTCTTTTTGAAGAGATAAAGACGAGGGGAAGACTTTACTTTCGTGCTCGAGGGTACGACTACTTCTCGATAACAATTGTTTACTGATTATAGTGCCGAAAACATCATCTTAATAGGTCTTAACCGTAATAACCAGGAATTACAGTGAAAATCAATTATTTTTATCAATTATCAATTTTAAGCACTAGCAGCTATGCACGATGATTAAATTATCTCTTGAAACAGAATGAATTGGTCTCGTTTGAGCATAATAATCAGGTAAAGTTACAAAGGATTATTTAGCCGAATAACTGTGCGGACAATAATATCAAATCAAATATTTTACGCAATGTTGCACTACATTATGTCGTACGTGTAAAGTGTGTCATCTGCCGATATATCTGTATTCGATGAACTGCACTTCATTCATCCCGCGCGTCCGTGACTTCACAGATTCCAACAGCTTTCTCATGTGCGCGTATACACAAGACACATGGCGCCGATCGCACATGTGACTATTTTCGCCGCCGAGTGTTCGCCACTTTTTCAAGTGTTGTATAGCTTGAATCACGTTAATTCGCTAACTCGCACGTACGCGACCGCGCCAAACACATCGAGCAATGCTAATACATTATGTAAAGCCTCGAGACGATTACCGGTTGAAGTCTAATTATGTATGGCACGGCGAAACATCTTGTTTAAGGCCGTTGTACTGCTCGTCGTGGTTAATGTCTTTTATTCCGGCAGCACACTTCTTGATGTAAACGGTACAGTATTGGAAATCTTATTAATTTAACAACTCGACAATGAAAATCGTTAAATTAAACTGATAATATAAAGCTTGAATAAATCTTTATAAATATGGAAGAATCGTTATATATTATATCATCTATTATTTATCTGTCTTTCTTTAATCTTTTGTAAACGGGTAACATTCATTCATCATTTATAAGACATGTTTGGGAGTATAGTTCGATTTATAATTATAATGCACTATAATTATCACGCAGTTATTTACTTTTATTTGCCCTTAGTTTTAATTTTATTGTTTGAATGTCGGAGTCTACTATTAGTTGATTTTATTGTTAAATTTATTTAAATATAGATGATTATTCCAATATCCGACTGACCGTAAATGAAGCTTTTCTTTTTCTTACTTAGTTGATCGTCTTTACGGAATTTCGAATTGCAAAATAACATTAAGTTTCCAGTTTCGCTTCATTTGAAGCTCATCTATGATATGCAAATAGTACTAATTTCAAAACTGACTTCAAACTTTGATTATGAGCCCTGTGATACTAGATCCTCTTTATCAGAGATTATTATCCGTTTGAAATTCAATATTTTCAGATTACATTTAAATTTAATGACATCAGGAACCTAAAATCAAGTTTCACAAGATAATTAGATTATTTTTCTTTAAATTTGAATTTTAAAATTCTGAGACCAAAATCAAATTCAGTGACCCACAAATTTTTAGCAAATAAGGTTTTCTTTAAGTTTCTTTGCCAGAAAGTTCCCATCCTCAAAGGGTTATTATGTATCAAAAAACTTCTGTAATTATATATTTATGCTATATATATATATATATAAATTATCTATTTTGCGTTATTTTGTTTGTTAAAAATTATAAAAATCAGTGATGTGGACACAAAATTAATTAACCGGATATGAAACTTTTTATTATTATCTAAAGATTTTCATGATAAATAGCGAAGTCGTTTTATACGGATGGACTTCGCTTTACTGATCTATTGAAGTTGAAACTTAGTAGAAAGCTAATGAAAAAACGAGAGAGAGAAGCCCTTCACAATTCTCGAAGTATTTTCAAGCGGGTCCATCCGTTCGTCCATTCAATTTCCTGCGGGTTATACCGGATCCTGGCGACCAAGATCGTCGCGCATCGAGGAACGACAGACAGGTCGACGTGCTATTCTGTCCCTCCCACCCGCTGTCAACCCTTTCCACTGATTTCCAGCGGAAAGGGCGGAATTCTGTGTTACCGTCGTTGCGCGCGTGTACAGCCGCATGACCACGGCCAAGGGCCGATAAAATGGACGTAGGTCAGTTATGCGAAAGCTGCTGCGTGCGATAAAATCGCTCGTCCGCCGACGCCGTTGTAAATATCATTTATTCTCGTCATTATCGCTCGCGCGCGCGTGTTATGCAATTAACATGGGAATGTATAATGCATGAGCGTCTGCATCAATGCCGATGGCCGTCTCGATTTTCACATGCGGCGTATACGAGAACCCGATAAAGGCGTAACGCGCGACTGCTATACGAAATCAGTTTCGCATGTGTATATCCCACAGATATACTAGTATATCCCTCGCATCTGAAAATGAAACACGCCCCCATTGCTGTTATTATTCTTCCTTTTAGGAGAATGTATGATCCGACGTTTTTTCCACGAAGAATCACACAGGTAGTGAAAACACGTTTTTCAGAGGTCTATTAAAATCTAATTTCATTTTAATCCACTCTTTTGATGGATGCCTATCTTAATGATATTAATATTGTATTTCCTACTCGAGGAAGTTTCTATGCGTGAAAATTTTGACGAAGCTCCTTTTTTAAATTAGACTAAAAAAATAAAACACGTGGAATAATTTTGATGCTTCTAAAAGCACGCATTTGGAACCGTTATCTTATCCTATTAGTATCTGGAGTACTTAGGGATCATTACAATTCCATTAACAGTTCATGAGAATATACACAGTTGTCTCCGAGCATTTAGAGATAAGAATTTTTATTTTACACGCATATCAGCAAATCTCTTGTTGACTTGCACACGCTTTTAATTTATACATAGAAAACAACGCAATCGAATTCAGTGTGAACAATTTTCGTCAGAATGATTTAATAGGTAAAGAATGAAAGACAAGTCAATATAAATGACGTTTATGTCTCTTTTAAGACACTACTCTTAAGCGGGAGCCGACTAACTGACACACTACGTTACGCGTTGCGTAAAACAGCGCGTGCTATCGTAACGTGGAAAGGTCAGTGTCTCTTTCTCTCGACGACGACATCGTGATTCGCAGCGTGACGGACGTTGCCCGAAATATCTGCCAGGCGGAAAGGCGGGAGAGGAAGATCGACGATCGTCCAGCTTTATCCGGCAAGCGCGAGAGAACGGCGGCGTAGAATTGTTTTTTCCTCGTTTTCGGCCACTTTATAGTCGACCGGATAATTTATGACTGCTGATACGCGACGAAACGACCGCGGACTTTTTGCGCGACGAGACTTGTCCGTGAATGCGAAAAAAGATGCGTGCTCGATGGTTTTTAACACTCTTTTTTTTTTTTTTAGGAGCTACAATAATGCGGAAAATTACGGAATAAAACATCACTGTTTGCATACGCGCTTTTACTGCGTGTTTTTGTAATATTTAGCGGTAAACGCGACCATATCTATCTGATCTTTTTCTAGTACTAACATTGAATGGATTCGATGTGGTAAACATAAATTTAGCATAACAATGTATTATAGCTCTACAAATGTTAACAAAATATTCGAGCAGCGATTCATAAAATAAGTATTTTTTGACATTTGTCACGCTCAGGTAGTGAAGTCGAAACTATTTCTGGAATTCACCATAAATCTTTTGAAATCTGAGATAAAAACTACGAAGTAAATTTTCATGAGAAGGTTACTACGTAACGCGTACCTGGCGTCTCAGTTTCCTTAAGCAATTTCTTACTTTAATGATCAGAATATATTTTTTTGTTTACCCAAAGTTGTAGAAATATTTGAAATGAAATTAAAACTCTACAAAATAATTAATGAGTTTCTGCGAAAAAATACATCAGTTTCGCACATGAAACGAAGCGATAACTCTTTTGCAAAAGTTAAATCGTGGTTAAAAAATTTAATGATATGAATTTCACGAGACACTGCTTGTCATCGTTCGTGTTTGGCTCGCATCTCGATTTGCTTATAAATTATCAAAACGAGTCGCCGAGCCACGATACTGGAATCTCCTAAACGACGACAGCGACGGGGCCAGGCCGATTGGCAATGTCTGGGCCTGTAATTAGGTTTGCGTTGGTGGTAACGTCATTACTCGGTAAGCTTGCAATTTCCTCGTGGCCGCCGCTTGTCGTCTCCAACCGGTTCCCTTCGTGGCGCTCCGCGGTTGCCACTAAAGCTGTTTGCTCCTGGACCGAGAACGATCGACCGACCACCGGACTCGTCTCGCTTGGACCCAGAAGGAGGGAAAAAGGGTGACGAGGTGGTGGACGAGCCATCCTCATTCAGATAAATTGTTCCATCTTTTCGTAATGGGGCGTTGCACGAAACGACGTACATAGATTTCTGTCGACATAATGATCGGACGCTTAAAAACCACCGTAATGAGATACTTTACGTTGTGCTGCATTAAACGCAGTAGGTGGTGTTCGTCAAGGGAAGTTTTACATTATCGAATTGTGTAATATAACGACGTCTTATTACAAGCTGCCGATAGTCAGGAAATATTCAATTTTTAAGAATAGATATAAGATATATATATATATGTAAAATTAATATGCGGACTGTCTTTCTATAAATTAAACTTATTGACATCTACTATAAATTGACATTTACTAATTACGAAAAATTCGCTATTAAAAAAATAATACGACAGGGATCTTATTCTAATATGACACTACTCTCTAAATTCGTTTGAATGGAATCTTACTCTAAAGAGTGAGAAATCTCACTATTTTACAAAAGTAGCAGAATTTTCAATCTTTAAAGTGAAATTCTACTCCAAAGAATTTAGAATTGTATGTAATAACAATGATAAAATAAATGGAAATAGAGATGAACTTTTTGGGGGGAAACTTTGATATACGAATTTTTTGCGAGCGCTTCTCCCTCAAAGATTTTCTATTACAATGCATTAAACTATCATATATTCTTTGTATGTTTTAGTGGCGTCGCGGTGTCTTGTGGCGAATGCAGCAGCAGTGGCACCAGCGATATCACAGAACCGGGCTCACCGTGCAGCACCAGCAGCGACGAGGGGGTAGCTGCGATACGCGGCACATCCGCCAGTCCGCTACCGTCTCTGCCCAAGCTGGCGCCGTCGTCGCAGCTCGGTACCAGGCCCCAGTGGCCCTGGACCCCGCCGTTGGCGGCAACCGCCTGCTCCACCACCGCGTTCAAAAGGCTGAGGGGCGAACCCGAGGCTGGCGCCCTTCCGCGCTCCGGCGCCGCCGATCCCACCTCCAGGGGGACCGTCAAGGCGAATGGAAAGACTGCGGGCGGCCAGCACCACCACGAGTCCCAGGGCAAAATCACGGAATACTTTAAGACGCAGATTAAGCCGCAACAGCCGAAGGTTGATATCTATATGAGATAGAGGCGAATAATAAATGTGTCAGGAAGAAGTACAAGTATTTTTATGTGAAAATAACTAAGATGTTTAAGGCAGTCTTGATCAAAGAGATCTAGAGAGATCTAAAAAAAATGAGTTTTTTTTTCAATTCTCATAGATGTCCAACTCACAATAGTTCTTTGTGTTTTGAAAGAAATGTTCTGTAAGGTTGACTTTGAATGACACAGTTGGTACTTATAGTAGGTAGCCTTTCAAACACGAAGACATCAACAGATCTTGGAATCTAAGAAAGTTCTAGGAGATTTTAAAATTTTGACGATTTTAATTTCAAAAATGTAAATGAATAGATGCTCGCATTTTCTTTAGTCTGAATTTCAGCTAAATTTTAATTAAAGGATCGTAGAAATATATAAAATATTGATTGTAGCAAAACTATGCAGTACGTTAACACTCGTTTGTTTAGCAACATTTAATTTGCAGTTCATAGAAGTCAACTAAAAGAAAAGTAGCAAAAGAAAATATTTCTTTGATTAAAACTAATGTTACGACGGAAGTGTTGAAGATATCGACCGGCTTTACTTCGCGCGAACACTTCAGATACAGACTCATCTTATCGGCGAACACGCGTTTATCGGATATTGAATTAGCCTTTTTTAATAAGCTCGCGCGTATAGGTCTTTTCCAATAGGTTGATATTAATTCGCGGAAACTGTTCTCGTTCTATCGATCGACAATTTAACATGACGCGTTCTCGATAATTCGCATTCACATCGCACCGCATTTAACGCTAAACGTGTCTACAAGGCTAAATTAACATTAGACAAAGCAAATCACTGTTTACATCGATACAAAAAGCATGATAAGTTATTCGTCATAATCCAGAGTTTTGCGATAAGGGCTGAATGTTTTTGTCTAATACACGATTACTTCAATGTCGCTCTTATCGTGATCCACACAGTGACCTCGCTTCAGCAAAGAAGCATCATTTTCTAATACTGAAATATTTATCGAAAAATATTGAGGGCACCGTATAAATATTTGAATAGTCCATAATTAATAACTCGCTACATTATTTAACGGTCACGAAAAAGTTACTTTATTTTTGTAAAACTGGATATGTAAATTCAAACTGAAATATTATTAGGCATTAAGATCTAGCTCAGACCGAGTAAAGCATTTTTCTACTTACAATTAATTCTATTATGTATCGGTCTAATGTTATTTACTATTATTTTATTTTTATCTCTTTTGAAAAAAATTGCTGTCTATTTTTCTTTAATTGTCTTCGACACGATAATTCTAACATAAGCTAAACCTTTGTTAAGTAAATAATATTGAAATTTTTTGTTACGCTTATGTTGATAGATAAAGAAAACGAACGAAATGGTACTGGTAGCTAAGAGTTCAGAATTTCGGAGGCCACCTATGGTGCAGAGGAATAAAGGCGGCCTTGCTAAATACTTGGGCACCGTGTCATCCAACACAAACCGCAGTACTGTGACCAACGAGCCCTGGGAAGTGAGAACACTGACGTCATCGTCGACGAAAAAGGTACCGCTAGTCATCGTGCCAAGAGCCAATGGCAAGATAGACAAGAAGTTGCCGAAGTCGCTGCCAAGTCTGCCAATCTCGAACGACGTACTGAAAAATCTGCCCAAGATCTCATCCCTTAGGTATATAGATATTCGATTTATTTTCGCGATGTGTCTTAGTGCAATAGTGCTGGCTGATTAATTTGTCAATTAATTAGCTAATTTTTGCTATTAGACGCATATTGAGAGTTTCCTAGACAACATGTGTGTCTAAGAGCTGTGTCAAAGACGTATTTCAGACTTCACTAAGAGACATCTTAAAAACGTCTTCAAACATCTTTAAGACTTTCCGTGTAGCTCGGATTTTTTAAATATTACTTTATTATGTAATACATTTTTACTCAAAAGAAATGGAACATGGTAAGTAAAAGTTATTTCCTGATTAATGGCTGTTTTTTAATTTCTGATACAGATTAACTTCAGACGCGAGTATCAATTCAACCAAGGGCAGTTCTCCGCCCGCTACTGCCGCCTCGTCGTTATTGGGCGAACCGTTGGACTTCAAGGCAATCTTGACGAAGCCACACGTGAACGAGAACAATAACTTAACGAATAGCTGTGGAAGTATCCTGGGAGCGTTAAGATCGCAAAGCGGCCACGAATCCCCTATTTCGAGGTTGTCTTCGCCATCGAAGGAGGACAACAAGGATGAGGATGGCCAATCGGCGCCGATCGACGTTGATGAAGATGACGTTGATGAAGAGGATTCTTTAGGTAGTGAATCGAAACCGTCGCCTATTCTTTCGGCACCTACCACCATTCGATTTCCGGCACGAGCGCCCGAGAAAGATAGATCTCAAGCTACTGATAGCGGGATTTGTCGTTGGGATAAGTGCGAAGCCAACTTCGAGTCTGTGGGTGGTCTTTTGGAGCATTTACAGGTACACAAAAGATAATTTTTTACCATGAATCTTTTATCTTTGCAGAAAATGTTCGTTGATCAGATCCTTGTATTTCTTATTTAAAAAATTCAACTCATTAATATAAAATGTAGTTTTTATGTACAATTTGTGTATTCTTTATAGGCTGCGCACATCAACACGCAAACCGGCAGCGACAATTTCGTCTGTCAATGGCAGGGATGTAAGGTACAAGGTAGGACTTCATGTTCTCGACGATGGCTGGAAAGACACGTTTTGTCTCACGGCGGCAATAAACCTTTTCGATGCATTGTCGACGGTTGCGGTTGCAGATTCAGTTCTCAGGTAACGCGGGTGTTTTTCTCTCACAGCACTGCCTTTATACTGGTAATATTTAATAAAATATTTAGAAACTAATCCATATTCATTTGCAGACCGCCCTTGAGAGGCATGTGAATGGTCACTTCAATCAGCCGGAAACAAGTAACACTAACGGAAGACGTAGTTGCGAGAATGGCGGCAAGCTCGTTAGAAGAAATGGCAAGAAGCTTAGATATAGGCGGCAACCTTGGTCTGGTGAGTGTCATTTCGCTATTTTATGCTGTTTATAGAATTTTTTTCTCTTGAAAATATATTTTATAGATTAATAAAAAATGATATATATTAATATCGTGATATCATTGCAGCGAGGCTTTTTGATTACTTTGACTCGGGAGTAATGGAGGGTCTCCAGCACAGGCTACTGGAATTAGCGACATCGAGGACGCAGGGGCGACTAGCTGAAACGCCAGGAAACTCGATGGCACTAACTAGTCAAGTAAGTTATAAGCATATAATTATCGCACTGTGCAGCGTCGTAATGTTCGCTGAGACTTATCTTGATAAAATTTTTCTTTCAGGTTTTAGCAAGAAGAGTCGAATTGGACGGAAAGACAAAGGTGTTATTGCGATGGTATCCCCAAGATATGTAAGTTTCCTTAGTAAAAAATGAACTTTAACTAATTATACGGATATCTGAAAGGCTGATTATTCATTCTTATCGTTGATTTCTACAGAGAACCGGATGAATGGGTACTAGAATCCGAAGTACAAAGCACGAAGCATGTAGGTATTCGCAAAGCAGCCGCTAGTAATCCGGAACAAGTGAGTTTGGCTCTCTATCCCGCGGTAAGCGGTCGCACGCCGCCGACGGTTCGAGCGAAGCAGCGTCGAAAACCAGTAAAGAACTCGTGATAATGCCGGCCGATCGGCCGGATACCAGAACTGACCTAACGAGCGCTGATATCTCAACCTTCTTCGAAGTGAAGAAGAACAGAGTGCTGCCGTTGACATGAGCACAACACGGTCTATAACACTTCCTGGTCGGTGAAGATGAAGGCCACGACGATGCGACCTGAAATACCCGAATGTATCGAAAGAGACAAAGACCGCTTTAGAAGATAACTAATCTAAAGATAAATGACCTGGCTCGATTAAAAAATAAGAATCGTCGAAGGAAATCGTGCAACAGATAAATTCAGGATGTAGTAGACAATAGCGATAAGAACAAGGGATACAGCAAATGGACGAACAAAGAAACGATTCGTCCTCCGTTTTGGGGACGAGAATATTGCTCAGCAATGTACATTGTCGTTATTTATCGATGGATACATCCACTAATGCGCTAGTTCTACGCGAATCCCTGCCACGAGTACCTCGCATAATTCGACGCTCGTCGGCTTCGGAAGCGCTAAGTCTGGGCCTCGAAAGTGCCTCACCGTGGATACGTTTTGTACCGTCTTCTACCGTGATCAAGATCCCAGGGACAGATGCGTGGTGAAAACGGTAGTAAAGGTAGACAAAGACAAAAAATGAAAAAAAAAAGAAAGCAACAAAGAGGAGCTTTTGCGCATTTGGTTTTGCCAAAGGAAACAAGAGGTCGTGCACAGACAAAATATTTAAGCGGTAGTTAACAATTTATAAAAAGATAATCACTCTGGTGGCCTTAGGATTCAATTAATATCTAACATCGGCCCCTTGGCACTTCCGGGAACTGAGTATCTTGGCGATCTCCGACGATGTTTTGAAAGAAGGGAAGAAAAAAGAAAAGGAGAAAGAAGATGCTTCTACCTCGATTTACAACTCGGTAGAAACTCGCGTCGGCTGTTGTCATATGACACGAAAAGGATCGAGAAGAAGAAACATGAGAAAACGGAGGAAGATCGTGGACAGCGCGAAGCGGACGCAGAAGACTGTATCGGGACTGTATGAGAGAAAATCGGAGAAGGGTATTTAGACTGTTAGGTGAGAATTCATGAGTACGAATGAAAGTATGTATGTATGAGAGAGAGACTGAGTTGATAATGCTCCGAATTCGCCGTTATTTCCCTGAATAGGGTGACAGTCTCCCAGGCTGGAAAGCTCGGCATGAAATTGAAAGATTGCGGAATAATCGGACGATACGTACGCCACCGAGATTTCTATCGAGGATTATTTCTCTTCGTTCTTTGTAGAGATGGAACGGAGAGGCGATGTACAAAACAAAATTAAGAAAAAAAGAGTGATTCTCAAGGCCCGAGGCATGCCCGAGTCAGCTTTTGAAAAGAGATGTACGACATCGAGCTTGCCTCGTTTTCGCGCCCGAGACGTGTTCGATTTCTTATTATGTACTTCATCATTCGCGTTAATTTATCTTTCTGCTGAGTCTCGCGCAGCATGTTGGCATACACTCGTCGCATTAAAGAGCGCAAAATTTAATCAAGTGCCAAGATGAAAAGAAAGGGGAGTAAGTAAACATGCTACGCAACCACAATCGATGAGCTGTTACCCTCAAAAGGGGTAAATTACGTACGTAGGCTGTGTTATATTTCCCACGGACTTGTTAAGCAAAGAATGGATTGAATGGATTGAACAAAGAGTGTGACATGCGCCATGTTGTTGCTCTCGGGATTCATGCACGTGACTTCGCAAAAAGAGAAATAGATTTTGCGACCACGCAAGCTTTTCACGGATAATCGCGGAGCAGCAATGTCGCGCACGTGTGCATGCATAGTGAATAAAACTTCATAAAAATTAAGGCTCGCGAAGGAGAAGAATATGTATCGTGTCGTGTGAACGTATTGAACGAGTGAGAGTTGATCGAGAAATAGACGAGACTGAGAGATTGACGAGAAAATCAGAATGGTTGAGTTTGAATATGAATGAGGGATTGAGCGACTGAAAAGAAATGGAGACCGTATGAGACACACAGACAAAGACGGAACGTCATTACACACCAGCTAAGAAACACTGCCAATATAATTGTAATTAAGAGCTCTACGACATTAATTAATTATTCTTACTATTATTGTAAAGTACGATTGTAAAACCCCAGACATAATGCGAATAGCAACAGCGATAGGAATAACACCTTTCAATCTATAAGAAACTGTGTATTCTGGAGTATCCGATTTCTGAGAATTGAAATCGTGGTATTTCTATCGCTATCACTATTCCTTCGCATTGTGTCTGGGGCTTAAGTGTATAATCGAATAGATCTCTAGCTGATGCGCGAGGATATGTAATAAGGAGAACATGTAATAAGAAGCGGCCGTTCCGATAATGCGTCGTTGTCACGTCCGTTCCACGATATTTTAATGACAAATACTTTTTCTCAAACTGCCCGCGTGTGAGAGGGTGTTCCGTGCACGCGGCGTGCACGGCGCGTCGCGAACGCGAGACCGCGAGTTGTAAATGTAAATACTTAGTTGAAATTATCGTAACGAAACGGCATATTACACGAATCCTATACTCGCAATCGTAGGCTTGCTACCCGTCGCCGCTAAAGCAAGCCACTCGCGAGTTATCTAAAAAAGTATATCTCTCTGTATCCATTGATTTTCGAGCACAGCGTTTCCGCGAGGGCGGCACGCATACGGCGGTGGATTATTCCTTCCTTTTGAGGAAATCGAAAGATAAACACCGAATATAAACGCGTCACTGCCAGAATCACGCACTGCCAGCCTCGTCGTTCTAACGACGCGCCTCTAACGCGTAGTATCTCTCTCTATTACACGAGCATATATTCGTTCGTATCATGCTTCTAAGAAACTCGTCGTCGGCTCTTTTCTCTTTATACGTACACACATACATACATACTCATACACACGGCCTAGCCGCAGCCACTGTTCCCGAATTTGTATATTCTTCGAGTGTATATCGTCGCTCCTAAAGAAAGATTCATTAACATAACGTTTTGTGAATTTATTTAAAAATTAAATATTAACTTAATTCAGTTTTTATGTTTGGACGACATTCGTGGATTTAAGGCAATTATTCATGCCTTGTAAATATGTCTAGAGGTCTGTTCTTTTTCGAAGTAAATTCTGAAGTGGAGTACACTAATGCAACAAGTTGAGAAGAAACAAATATAATTTGTTTCACTCCAATTTATTACACCAGTGTATATCAATTCAGATCTTTCTTCGAAAAAGAACAGGCTTTATCTGAATGAAGAGGTAATTTATTTTTAACTTTAAAAGATTAATTAGATAATTTATACAATCTTCTTTAAGATCGGCGATATTCTCCTGGCGCTCATGTATCACGCACTGCCAAATTTCATTGAACACATGATCTAAGGCACTGCCAGTGAGACATACAGAACAAGACGAGTGTGAAAAGAGATACCATAGATTCTGCCGAGGAGTCCTACCTACATTTCAAATTGACCTGTATTTTATCGGGGCGACTCCTCAATGCCATACGATGTCTCATGAGGAATCTTCATGCGTTCTTGATTTCGCTTTTGGGCCGAAACACGATAAGATATAAAAATGAGAAGCAAAGAAATAGCTACTAGAGTAATCTTAATGTATTAAACATACAAATTCGGAATGTTACTTAGATGTTTGAAAGATAAGAATATCTTTGTTATACATTTTAAGCGTTTGTGTTACTTTCGAAGTGAAATTTTATATTTAATCCATACTTTTCTTTATCTTCATTTTATATTTTATTGTGTTTCTATCATTCATCATATGTTCGCCTAATTTTGTTCTTTTGTGGCGCGATTATTCCCTCTTTCCGAATGTTTTTTCTGTCGTTTCATCTTGCCAATTTTCTGTCACACAATCTCTGCTCATATAAAACGAATTGTCAATCAAGATTGTATCGATTAGGCAAGGGACCAATCTTTTATGTACATGAAAACTTATCCGCCATTTCTGGCATAAATAATCGTTTTCATGGAGTATGTCTTTCTTTGCAACCGACCAATTAGATCGATCGTATTTTAAGACTCTTTAGTTGATACGCGAACATTTAGGTTTAATTTATTAGAGAGAAAAAGAGCTGAGCAGAGATTCCCTTAGTTATTAAGTTATTATCATTTTCTTTTTTATCATTTTCTTAATATTAACGTAAAGGTGAAATGATAGAAAGAACTTTCGATTATTTAAATCGCGCTTGATCTCGTGGAATGGAAGAACCGCGACAAATGGTAAAGAGTAAGAGAGACTGAGGAAAGCTCTCTTCGAAGGTTCTTCCAATTATATTCTCGCGATATAAAACTAAATTCGAGCGGATAAGCAATATAAAAATCATGGAAAGGTACAATAAAGGTACATTAAGTTTTAATTTTTTGGACGAGCTCGGTATGGTACCTTAGCGATCCTGTTTACGATAAGTTTATTCGAGTTGCGAATATATTTAGGATGTTCTTATGTATAATTATGTAATGGAGAGTCTAATTCCGATTAAGTATTTTCTACGTTATATTCTCTCGTGCGTTATTTCCCTGTTGTAACTAATTGCGAATATGAGTTACACCTGCGTTCATTGACTACGGTTAGACGGACACCTTTAATCGGGTATAACATCCGTAGTTAGAAACTGGTCAATCACATTTGTTCCATTCTTCACAGGAATAGCTATGATTGGCCAGTTTCATAACTATGATGTTATTAAATCCAATTAAAGATATCCGCGTAAACGTAGTCATTGTCACTAGCCAAGAAAACGAATCGACTGCATTTAGCTAAAAAAATTTTTTAGGCTGTGGCGTGGTGGCCGCATTTTTTTGCTCGAATCGACGGTGGTAAATAAATTTTCTTCTGTAAACATGAAAGATTAAAAAATACACGTGGTCTAGCCACATACACATATGCGTAATTGTAGCGTCTCGTGTATTTATCATTGTTCGTACCATCGGCCTGCTGATAATTCTAAATTATCGTTGTAGAATCAATATTGAATTTTTTATAATAATAATAATAATAATAAAGAGATGGAAGGCTGAAAAGAAAATGGGGGGGTACGCGTAAAAGCAGCGTAAAACGATTTGTATACGTTTGTAATGCACGAAGTCTGACCGGAAATCATCCCATTTCTATGATTTCTGGTTTTCTTTTTTTTTTACACATGTTTCGTGCATTTTTAAAATAGAATTATATAAATCAATCCGTGCGATGCTGCGCAATGCATTAAATAATATAAAATATAAGGGAAACGTTATAAAGTGTTCTCTAAATTAATTAGGTCTGTATTACCGTGGAAAAAAGAGCAAAAAATATAATGAAGCGAAATACATGAACACTCATACGTTTTTTTCCTATTGTGTTTTTGGAAAGAATTTTGCGGAACACACACACACATTCACACATACATACATATATACATCTGTAGATTTACTTTTTTTGAACGGTGCGTGCGAGAACATAAAAGAGAAAGAGAGAAAAACATTAGCTATAATTAATATAGAAGAAATAAGGGGCGTGAGAAAGGGAAAGAATGAAAGGAAAGAATGAAAGGGAAAAAATGCGAAAGAAGTATGAAGAGGTACAGGAATTCTGTGGGCATCGTATTTTTGCAAAAATTAGAAGAAAGCGCAAATGAATGGAATACGAAAGAATTAAATTTTACCTGTGAGATTCTCCTTATCTATTTAACCATAGATTTCATTAAAATAATTATCTAGTAAATGCAAAGTATCTCATTTTCAGAGAATAAATTTTACTTTTCTTTTTCTAAACATCCACGCGAAAAACTTACGGAACATTCAGAATACCAATTGCATAAATTTTAAGCTTAAAAAAATTCGTAAAGCTAAAAAATTAAAGAGTGACAAATTTATTAGATTGCATTTTAATTTTTTGGACATGATATTAGACATTGGAATACCTATCCGTGAATAAATTTAGATGTACGCAACTGACTTTTCGCGT